TGATAAATGTTTTATTTTAATAAAATTTGAAAACAGAAAAAATAATTCTCCAAATTTTCTTGTTTCTAAATTTCAGAATGAAAATTTTGTGTTATAGCTTTATAAATATGATTTATGTTTTCTAATTTTAAATTTTCTGAGTTTCCTTGTGGGAAGTCACATGATCGAATTTTTGGTGGTGGAGTATTGACTCTTTAATATATAACATATGGAAAAAGTATTTTGAACAGATACCACCTTGTAAATTGTAATAGAGTTGATAGTACTAAAACAAAAAAAAAAACAAAAAAAAAAAAAAAAAAAAAAAACAAAAAACTGACCAAAATTCTTCAGGTTATCTAGAAAGTCTTGATAATTCAGCCGCCAATCAAGAATTCAACGCGTCGTTCGTTAGTGGCGTGTTACGCTGTAGTCGAAATTCCCATCTTCTGAACCTTCCAATTACTATAGCCACTAAAATAGTTTATTACAAATTTCATATATATATATATATATATATATATATATATATATATATATACACACACACACACACACACACACACACACACACACACACACATATACACACACACACACACATATATATACACACACACACATATATATACACACACACACACACACATATGTTATATTCTTTGTTTATATTTAAGTCTTACTCGCTAGTTTTATTAATTTTTGGTGAAGTCATCTCATTTATGCATAAATCAATTAAATTAAAAAGTTGTTAAAAGTTTTATAGATTATAATGTCACCGCATCAAGAAGCCTTTTAGTAGAGAAATATAATATATCAAAAAATTACATATACTCATAAGGTGTGAATGAGATGACGTGGATCTATTTCAGTTTGACCAAATATGTGCTTTGACACCCTTTGTAACAGGGTGTTTGGTTGGGGGAAGAAATTAGGAAAGAAAAGAATTGCAATTCGGTGGAAAAGAATAAGGTTGGAATAATGTAGGAATTCAAATTACATTGTTTGGTAGGAGGAATAGAATTATTAGGAATGAGAAGGGAAAAAGTGATATAAAGACTAAAATGTCCTTGTTTAATAAGAAGAATAACAATCATCAAGGGTATTTTTGCCATTTTATCCATTTTTTCCTTTCCCGGCCCAAAAGCATTGAATTGTAATTCATGGGGTACCCCCATGAATTACAATTCAACAAAAGGAGGGAATTGCAATTCTGTGGAATTGTAATTCCCTCCAACCAAACACTGTAATTTGTATTGCAATGAAATAAAGTAGAAAAAAGTTACAACTATATCCAACCAAACACCTCCTTAAGATCTTACTTTACATCAACATGACTAGTCTACTCTAACTAAAAAAAAAAAAAAAAAAAAAAAAAAAAAAGAACATGTGGTTTGATCATAAATAAATAAATAAAACAACTAATAAGATTGTATAGCAAGGTGTGTAACCAACAGCACGGGTGAAATATTTATATATATTTACGAGTAAACGCTCAAATATATCCAGTTCTCAACAAATTTTTATACTATGTATGTATATGATTATCTAAAAAGAAATAAAATAGATTTAATTAACAAATACAATAATGTTACATTCCCCGTCTAATTTTACTTGACAATATATTATTAAATCTTTTCATATTTTTTTTTTGAAAGCAAATCTTTTCATATTTGATTAATAAGTATATTCCTTTTTTTTCTTTTTAACACAAGGTATGCTTAATTAGCCAATTCAGGTTAGTCAATGAATTAAAAAAAAAAAAATTGTATTGCTATGTAAAAAGATGAATTTTAGAAAAAAAAAATATTACTCTAACAACCATCTAAAAATGTTAAACAATAGAAACACATACATTTTATTTTTCTAGGGGGTGTTTGGTAAATAGATGTTAGCTGATTAGGTTAGCAGATTTGACTAGTTAATAGCATTAGCTAATTAAAGAAAGATATTTGGTAAATTAGTTGTTAGTTGATAGCTGATTAAATGCAAAATAACTATCTCAAAAAGTTGATCGAAAAAGCTGCTTTTTGAATTTCAGCGTTGTGGAGCCATAAATTATTACAAAAAATAATAATAATAATAATAATTAATCCAACACTTATATTGACTATTAATTAAGTCAAACAATTAATAGTGGTTAAATAAGTTAAAATTGATTTATAAGCTAATTATGTTACCAATTAGGATGTAAGTCTTTTAATGTTTAAAAATATGCCAAAAAAATTATATGATATGGGACAAATAACATATCTGGGTATAATTTTTAAATCTCTCAGAAAAATAAGGAATACAAGTACAATTAATAAATAATAAGCGCATTGAGTTTGAAAATCTCACTTTGTAATATAATTTTTAATTGGATTATGGTGGATGGAGTTGGGAATCCAAGAATTAATTATTCCTTGCTTACACATTTCAACCACAAATATTTTGTCGTTTTAAAGTCCAAACGCGAAATAAGCCATCAGGGAGGGCCGGAGGGGCGATGGAAATCAGGGAATCACGTGGAGGATCATGTTCCATACAATCAAGGTCATTTTTGTAAATTGCTCTGCTCATCAACTTTCCACCTTATTGTTTTGAGATCCACATTATATAATGACAAACAGATGAAGCCAACTCCCAGCACTATAATTAATTATTAATTATACTTGCCCGCATAGACAGTTCAACTGGTCATATAGGTGAAAGTTAAAAAGAATGACTAAGGATGAGTCTCACCAGCTGCAGTGAGGGGCTCTTTGTGCGCAGTAAGTAATGTAAAGAATTATTAATTATACTTTTAATTCACATAGACATCTCAGTTAGCCACGGGATAAAATTTGAGAAGAATTAATTATATTTAAAAAAATTAATTATACTTTTAATTACTCCGTATAATAAGAGTATAATAAAGTCTTTGCTTTAAATGTTTAATTATTAATTAAAGATATATTATTTGATGGAAAAATTAATATAACTAACATTTTATCCTTAATTAGATCGGTCTTATGCAAACTTAAATTAGCCCGAATATGGTACATACTTAAAGTTGTCTTCTATAGTTAGAGTCTATTTAGGACACACCATGGTCTAATTAAAAATAATAATTATTTGCACGTTTTGAGACAAGCAAAAAAGGGAAAAAAAAAGGTGAGTAATTGTTAGAGTAATTAAAATTAATGATTATAATATTTAAAATCATGTCATAAAATGGAATTAATTATGAGTCACACATGTCCGTCTCAAGGTTTTTTATCTATGATACGAGTCGGGTTGAGTCAATATGAAAATTTAATACTTATAGTAACAAATGTAATATTAAATTAGGAATAAAATATTTATTACTTATAAGGGAAATCATAATACTTTTGGGAACAGATGTCATACTTTCATATTTTGATGTAAAAAGTTTTTTTTTTCGTAAAAAATATTATATTTTCCCTTATAAGTAATGTTGCACTTGGAGCATCCCCAATATGAGTTTTTACTCAGTTTGTAAGGAAGAAAATTACCAACCTATGACTTTTTTACTAATGGGAGATTTGATTTTTGTGAGGTTTTTATTCCTGCAAATGTAATTTTTTATGGGCCCTAAGCTTTGAGAAGAAATGGAAAAATTAAGTTTGTACCTGCTGCGCCTAGATGGCGCGTCACGTAAATAGGCTATTATTTATTTTTTATTTGTACTTTATGATTGTAAGTTTTTTTTTTCTTCTTGTTTTCCTCTCTCCTACATGGATATCAGGATATGACAAAAATCTCATAAAATCCTCAACTAATGAGGATACTCTTATAAATGAAAAGAGTAAATACCCAAAATGGTCTCTCAATTATAGCTAAATTCACAAATTGGTCCATGACTTTCAATTTTAACCAATTAAGTACTTAACTTTGCAATTTCAACATGATTTTATCATCCGTCTATTTGACCGTTTGTTGACCGTGATCTCTGAGGATATATATGTAATTTCACCGCCTCCTGCCCTCATCTACTGCCGTGACACAGTCTATCACCCATGTAACACCCCACTTTTCTTAACTCTTCGCTCTGGTATGAACTCAACTACATTGAATCCAAAGAGGGGATGAAGAAAGGCGATAGGATTTGACATATTACTTTCGGCAGTGGATTCAAATGTAACAGTGCGGTCTGGAAATGCAACCGAAACCTTAAAAAACTGACAATGGACCATGAAATTATATATATATATATATATATATATATATATATATATATATATATATATATATATATATATATATATATATATATATATATATATATATATATATATATATTCTCAAAAATCATAGTCAACAAACGGTCAAATAGACGGAGGACCAAATCGTGTTAAAATTGCAAAGTTAAGGACCAATTTGGAATTTAGCTATAGTCGAGGGACAATTTTGGGTATTTACTCAAATGAAAATGTAATACTTGTATATCAAAATGTAAAAGTATTACATTTTGTGTAATAGACATTTTATTCTTGATTTAGTATTACATTTACCCGTATACGTATTACATTTCATATTGACCCGACTCGTCTCACAGACAATGATCGTTGAGACGGTCTAACACAAACTTTTGTCATTAATTATGGATAACCATGTTTTTTTTTTTCTTTTAAAATAAGAGTTACTTTTTTTCTTTTTTTTTTTTTAACAACAATTACTAGTAATTAAAAGTAAAATTACTGTTAAGATGGAAACGAAGGTCAGGGCGCCAATGCGCCATGCTGTCACGTGGATTACGACACAGAGATGACAATGCCTAAGATACGTCATTTGAAATGCTCATGTTGTCATCAGACGCACCGATCAGCGCGTGTCACTCCACCCGCTTCTCAGCAACGGCATTGATCCCAACTGGCACTAATCAAGAGGCGAGTGTGATCACCCATTTAAAGGTGCCGGTGGGGAGTGGGAATCTTGGGCGCTACGAATCATACAGGCAAGCTCCATCTGATTTTCCTAGAATTTTACCGGACTAACGTTGTCGTTTTATGGCTCTAAACTCATCTTATCATCTTCTTGCCACACATAAATATTTCCACCACTCTACTTCACTCCTCGCTTAGTGGAGTAGTACAGTACAAGTTATCCCAGCACATGCAATCCCCTTCGCCGGAAAACATGGCCGGAGATTGGAAAAGGGCCATCGGAGAGTTGATTCGTGGCCAGAAGTTAACCAAACAACTATGGGACTTGTTAAAGAACCCTCCTGGAGACGACGGCAAGCCTAAGGTTGCCGACGATCTACTGCTGCAAATCTTGGGAACTTTCGACAAGAGCCTTTGGATTCTTAAGTCGTCGATCGACACCGCCGATGAGGTTTCCCAGGGCGGCGCCGGCGCCCCCAGCTCGCCGTGCTACGACGGCCGGAGATCGGAGGATTCCAGTGGTAGCTGCAAGACTTTTGTGAAAGATCGGAGAGGATGCTACAAGAGGAGGTAAATATTTAGCCTTCAAATTAAAACTAACACTTTTTCCCCTTCAAAATATGTTCTTTTGAAACCAAAAATAACATATTTTTGAAATTATTTGTTGTCTAATAAACTATATGAATATTTTTTTGCAGAAAAACTTGTGAATCACAAATCAAAGAATCCCCAAATTTGGTGGATGATGGTCATGCATGGAGGAAGTATGGACAAAAAGTGATTCTTAATTCCAAATATCCAAGGTCTAATATGCATTTCACTTCAATATTAATCTTAATAATAATAATATTATTATTATTACTACTATTATTATTATTATCAATGTTGAAAAAATCGCTAGGCACCCTCTAGGCGTTTGGGGACTGTCTAGGGCGCCTAGAGCGCCTAGGAGGCCAACCGCCTAAGGCTTAAGAATAGACACCTAGGCGCGATTTTTGCAACACTTATTATTATTATTATTATAAATTCCATCTTATATTTTTGTTTGAATTTTAGTTTATTGAAAATAAAATTAATATAATAATAATATGTGCAGGAATTACTTTAGGTGCACCCACAAATTCGACCAGGATTGCCAAGCAACCAAACAGGTCCAAAGAATGGAAGATGATCCACCGTTGTACCGTACAACATACCTAGGGAAGCACACATGCAGGAATTTACAGAAATGCCCTCAGATCTTCCAGCAGCCCGAGGACGCCTCTGTCATACTCTGCTTTGGGCAAAACAGTAAAAGTGACATGTACACTTGTCTTCCCACATTCTCTTCCTCCATCAAACACGAAAACAATCCCCACGGCAGCCGCATCGGATCCTCGACCTCCGACTGTTTCGTGCCGTCCGACGACCGTCTCGGCTCGCCGTACGACACCGCCGGCCACGTGGCGCCGCTGTCGTCGGCGTCGGATTACGGGGAAGTCATCTCCTCCGGCGGCACAATGGATATGAGCCAATTCATCGGCTCCGACGTAGTCGACGACATCGACGATTTCCTAATAATCTAATATACTAGCACGTATACTCGTGCCTAATTATTCCTTTTCCTTTTTGCTCTCTCTTTTTCTTTTTTTAATGTAAAAAAAAAATGTGTACTTTATCTCGTTGTGAAATGAACAATTTGTAGTGATGTATTTACATTACAAGTTGTAATATTATTTGCTGTTAGTTACGTAATTAATTAAGTCCTACTTACAATGATAAACACATGATATAAAATCTCTAATATGATTAATATTAGCTTATTAAATACATTTTAAATTAATACAAGTTTATTTTGCAATGTACAAAATTTTTAATGATTAATGTTTTTTTTTTTTAAGTTTCTTGTGTTATTTGATTTTTTTTTTCTTTTATTTTTTTTTAAAGATTTTTTTTTTATATGCAACCTAGATCCTTATTGGAGATAACTCAAAGTAAGCCAAACGGCTCAATATAATGTACAATATAATGTACATATAGCATCAGAGAAATGCAATGAGGGTTGTGTTAAGACTATATGTGGTTGATATATATTATTTCTGTATTTGTTCTAATTATGTTCCTGTAGAATAGTTATGTTAGAATAGCTGTTACAATTATAACTTTTTGCTATTTACTCTCATTTGTATACTATTTATAGTTAGCTATTTTACATCAATAAATGATCAGTTCATAATCTTAGCAGGGTGTTTGGTAGGATGAGATTGTAATTTTATTGTTACCAAACTTCATGGAATTACAATTCTATTCTATGGTTTGGTTGGATGCAATTCCATAATTTGTGGAATTGTAATTTTAAAGTGAATTACTATTTTGTCATTGCTGTTTTTATTATTATTATACAAGAGCATTTTAGTCTTTATTTACTTCTTTCATTTTAATTCTCAATCATTATATTCTTCCATACCAAACAATTTAATTTGAATTTTCACTTTACCCACAGAATTACAATTTATTTCTTATTTATTTTCTCTTTCCAACCAAACGTGGCAAAGAAACAAACATAAAACCAAAAAGAGCTAGCATTAAATAATGGATAGTTGGGTACAACATTAATGTGAAAATTACAGGTGATTTTAATTTTTAAATGCAAAGTTGTACTATTTTTCCATTCTGGTTGAGTGAAGGACAAAACTTTTGAGGGTGCATGTTAAGATTTGTTGAATCTCATTCTCAGCTCCCTGGCTTGGTCTTATCCACAACAACGTGACACGAAAACATTAGAGAAATAATTGGAAGGAAAAAGTGAATATAGTACTCCGTATGATGTCACATAGCATTATTAGACACAAAATAATGTGGATAAAAAACACAATTTTAACTTCATATAGTGGCGTCTCATGTACCATTACAATTCACAAGGGGCCATGAAAGCTAGGGAAGTTTGATTATTTCAGTACAATCTTTTTCACCGCATAATACAAAAAAGGGGGAGAGTCATACTTTTGATCTTTGAATTATTTCCTTTTTATCTTTTCTAGCAAATATCAATTCGAGCAAATTTAATTTATTAAATATATAATGTCAAGAATTAAATGTGTAATATTGTAGATAATTGACAAAGGAAAAATGACACTTTTTTCCCCCGAGTTATATACCTATAACATTTTTCCCTCCTAAATTATTGAAGTGACTGTTTTTCCCTCTGAAATGTTAAATAGACATATTTACCCTTAAACTAAATATTTAATTTATTTTTTTTTTCTCCAACAAATTATGACCATAATTTGGTTCAAACCAAACAAACACTATAGCAACCAAACCGAAATATTCCAATTACAATTTAGAATCGAAATTCGATATTTAGAGTTTATTAAAATCGTGAACCGGAACGGACGGTTCATGTTCCGAACTGAAAAAATAAAATACATTTATTGTTGAATTTAGACTATTTTAAAATAAAAAATAAAATTTTAAAATAAAAACGGTTCAAAATCGCGAATCGGATCCGGAACCGCCGGTTCACGGTTCAAGATTCAATTTTTTTGATACATAATTTTAATAAATTGACATTTAAATATTAGGTTCTAGATCTGAATTATAACCGGAAACTATTAATTCGATTGCTTTAGTATCTGGTTCAATTCAAACCGAACCGTGGTCATTCCTACGTTTACGCAATAATTTGTTGGGGTAGTAAAATAAATAAAATGTTTACTTTAAGGGTATAAATGTCAATTTAATATATCAGGGGGAAAAAGCACCACTTTTAGAATAATTGAGGGGGCTAATGTGCTTACCTAAATAATTGAGGGGGAAAAAATGCTATAAGTATATAACTCAGGGGTAAAAAGTGCCATTTTCCCATTGACAAACAGATTTGTTTAAATTGATAGACAATGGGAAACTTTTCTAAAAAGGAATAATTCAAAATTCAAAGTGTAATTTTTTTTAAATGAAAATAAAAAATTGAAATAATAACAAGATAAAAATAAGAAATATATACTATAAATTTGAGTATTAAGAGAAAAATAATAAATTTTTTAGATAATAAAGAAAATTCATTATTACTATCGAATGTTTTATATTGAGTAAACTCTATTTTGTATAATATTTCGTAAATTATACAAAAGATGTAAACTGTATTAAAAAATCTTACACAACAAACTTAGTCTAAAAGAGTGTTGACAAGAAAACAAATAAATAAACAAAACAAAATAACATTTATACTTAAATGAACTTGTATTTTGTAATTTATGCACGTACTAGATAGTCAGATAGATATTTGTCGTATTGGAAGAGTTCTATAATTATGGTATTTGATGGTTTTGAGGTAGACATTAGAAAAAGGATATAACGTAATACATTCAAATTTCTAAATAATAATAAGTCTCAATCCAAATTATATAATTGATTTATGTTAATTTTTTATGTTTGTTTTTTTTTTAATTTTTTATTTTATATTATGAAGTGTTGTACTATACAATTTTTTGAACAAAAATATCTCTATCGTTATAATATTTGTTATTCCTGTTACTATTACTGATAGATACCCGGCCTTGGGTACCGAGTCAGTGTCGCTAGGCAATCAAGATGGGAAGGTGGTCAGCCCGACGGCTAGCTACGAAGCGAGAATCCTGAACGACACTCTAGAGGTATTAGAAGATGTGTTACCATATTTCCTACTCTAGTCTGAATTTTTAGTTTAAGGAAAGAGAATATCATGCTTATGGAAGCAAAATTCAATAAGGAAAGTTGCCTAAATTTAAATTTGTTAAACCTTTCTCTTTCCTTTCTTCGGTCAATTCTTTATATATACATACCTCCTAGGCAATCATTATTGTGTGGATTGGTCCATACAAATCGTGTGGACCATATTTTATATACTATAAAATAATGTACATTCAGTACAAAAATAATATATATTCAGCACAAAAATAATGAACATTGTATTTAAGAAATGTACATTATTTTTGTACTAAATATACATTTATTGTATAATGTACATTCAATACAAAAATAATGTACATTTAATATATTAAAAATATATTTTTATTATGGTCCACATAACACCGTTTGCACCATGGTTCACACAATAATTTGCCCTTCATAGGGGTTACATTGTAAGGGCCAAGGGGGATGACTACTATTTTCTAAGATAAGGGAGATATTGCCACTTTCAACCAATAGGGAGGAGGGGGATATAGAGATCTCACTTGCTCATGTACAAGATTACCTGTCAATGACTTTATGGTCTAGTGGCACGAAATCATGGATTTGATTCTTAATGGGGGTAGTATTGACTCTTTGTACTTTAATAGATTGAGAAAGTAATTATAAACAGATACTACGCTGTAACAGAGTCAATAGTACTCAAAAAAAAAAAAAAAAACTACTACAAAAAACAATGGATCTTGGCTTGACATTAATGACCAAAACGGCACATAATTTTCACCTTTTAATTTCCACGTAAAAATATTGTGCCTCCTTTATTTTTCCTCTCAATTATTTTAGTCTAATATATATGAACGAAATTAAATTTCTAGAAAAAGTTTTAAATGTGGGAAATATCTATCCTTATTCTCAATTTTCCTTTTTTTTTTTTTTTTTTTGGACTATGTGAAGAAAAATTTATCACTTAGCAAATAGTGAAAGACAGGGGTTATCGATGTGTCTCGTTTTGTTTGAATTTCAAATATGTCATTGTCGATACTTATGCAACGTTAACGTGGTGTTTGGGCATCTTTGATTTTGAAGGTTTTTTTTTTTTTTTTTTTAAATTTTTATTTTATTTTATTTTTATTTTTTAAACTACAATTTAACGTATCCGTAATATCTACTAAACAACAAGTTATATACCAACATCCTCGATTGAGATGAATCTCAAACTTCTGACCTTTCCTTTGAAAGTTTCTTAAATTTTTCTTTTCTGACTTCATTCTACTAAAATGAATTTTATATAAAAGTCTCAATTTTGAATAAATAAATAATTGACATGTATAAATAAGCAATGAATTTCATTGCTTAGAATTGGTTACATAAACGGTTAAATCTCAAAAGACGAAACTTAACATTTGTCAAGTCTAATCTTTCAATTTTCAAAACTAACTTGGTAGACAAATTAAATTGTAGATTATATATGGTTGACATTATAAGGTGAATCCCTGATAAATATTTATTTTTAGTAAATTATAAATTCATTTTTAGCATATCTCATATTTATTTACGTTTAGATAATACACTAAAAATAAGTTTGTATTAAAATATAATAAATTTATAAAAAATAAACTTATAGGATATAGCACAATAAAAAAAGACATGTATATTCGTAGTTTATCTTCCAATGTAAATCATGATTACATCGAGATATATTGATTGGTCAGCCACCTCTTTAAGGGTGTGTTTGGAAACCCAAAAAATGATTTCCAGAAATCATTTTCCAAGTTTCTAGTGTTTGGAAAGAAGGAAAATACTAAAGTCAATGGAAAATTAAGTTTGGTCAATGGAAAATTGAGTCATTTTTACGGAAAATGACTTCCCTTTTTTGAGGGGAAGTCATTTTCCGCTTCATCTTCTTCGCATATGAGACTGCCAACTCCTCCTTCGCACAAGACTAGTGAGACCATGAACGCCCCCCTTCTTCGCACAGTGACTACAGAGACGACCAATGCGACATTCACCATCTTCTCAATCACCGGAAATCATTTCCAGCTGTGGGTACGAAAACCCACAGCCGGTAATGGTTTCCGACTTGG